ATTTCCATTTTCATTTACTTAACAACATTACAGAAAACTGTAAGTGATGGGGTAGAATTGCTCGTAAATCCACGCCAGTTTAGGAGGGATGGCACAGTGAAATAACACATTATGGCTGGTGTTCCGTAATGTGATACTAACTTAGTTGTCTTTGATTACTAAAGGACAACTCCTTGTTGTTTTAGAAAAGTGGGATATTTGGAGAGGGGGAAGGTGCATGGAGGGTGTAGATCATATCCAACTCATGAATATTTGATGTTTTACTTTAAAGCTGAACTCCAGCTAAAAAAAAATTGAGCGCACAGTAATAGTCAACACAAATAGTGTTTGCTGCAATACTTATTTTAAATCCAGATCTCTCCGCTGCAGTTTATTTTCTGCCACAAGGTATCTTTAGTCTTCCAGGTTGAATGACTTCCCCCTGCATGTGTCACTCTCTTTCTGAGGGGATATATTCAGGAGGAGGTGAGTCCTCATGGGTGGTTTGTTCTCTGGGGAGTTGACAGAGACATACATGGGGGATGTAGTCACTATACCAAGAATGAGGCTACCTCTTAACAGGACCATGCTACGGGAGAACAGACTGAGCTTTTAATAATCACTTTATGGGAAACCAACACAACAAAAGTACCATAGCACTTAGAAATGCAGAAATGCAAAATGCTGTCATTGTTCTAGATGTTGCAATTTGTTCCTATGGAAACAATGAAGAATTTTATGTACAAGTGATTTACTTGAGTAAAAGAAGTTCTGGTTAAGTAACACTGCCTGGTCTGGTTTATGTGAAGAAAGAATGTGCTTCTATAGTGAATGTGATCTGGGGAACAAAATGTAAAACTTCAAGTTAATCCTCTGGGTGATCAAGACTATAAAGTAGTAACAGTAAGGAGAATCAGCCAGTTGGGGAGAGGGAGCAGTGGTGGCCAGTGATGGAAGCTCTGTAGACAGAATTGCTGAGCGTCTGGACCCCTATCCTAGGGCACGCTTTGGAATGGAACACTTCTAAGGACCTGGCCTGGAACCACAGTGTGCAAGGCCTAAAAAAGTATATGCAACTGCTTCTCTCTTTTCCCATCAGGCTGGACATGTCAAAGTGTCAAGTGTGAGCTGGTGAAGGGAAATCAGCATTCAATGCTTTTACTCTCAAAATGATTGTGTAGCCGTTGCCAGAACAGGTGTCACTGGCAAGTGAAAACATGCTATCCTCTCACATGTGGGGCTCCAGCCATGAAGGGAAGCCGAATCCCTATAAGTAACTGAACAAAACATTGGCAAATTGTCCCAACGTAGAATGATTCTGGCGCATAGAGACAATCAATACAACATACAGTGTTAACTGTGACCATATGGTATTTTATAAAGTCCAGGCTCTGTGAGGGGTTAAACGGGTGGGTGGCCGCCATCCTGAGAGTTGCCAGCTCTGTTCAAATGACAATAAGAGGAAGAGAGAGGAGGCACCACCTGAGTGTACTATTAATATAAGAGTATTTATTCACACTTACATTTAAACACTTACAAGATAATAATATATAAAGGCTCATCTGTGTATAAGGTCCTGGGCCACTCGTCTTCCTACAGCAGGGATGGCTGGAAGGGACCTGGATGTCCCTGGTGTAGGAGAAGCAGAAGCACCTTGTGCTATTCAGCAAGTCCACGCTGAACCAGCGTGAAACCCAAGCGGACCTGATATCACTGGAAGAGGGAGGAGGTATTCTTAGAATACCATACAGCCTGAAGGTGTCTGTGCATCTCCCGGCCCTCCTCCCTCTTCCAGTGACGTCAAGTCTGCTTGTGTTCCACTCTGGTTCAGTGTAGACTTCCTGGATAGTGCATCAGAGACATCCGGGTCTCTTCCAGCAATCCCTGCAGGAGGAAGACAGGTAGCCCAGGACCTTATACACAGATGAGCCTTTATATATTATTATCTTGTAAGTGTTTTTAAACACCATGTGAATAAATAGTCTTATATTAATACGACACTCAGGGGGCACCTCCTCTCTCTTTCTATTATTGTCAAGTTGTCCCAACTTGCCGACAGACAGGAAAGGAATATTGTCACCCAAGAAGAGAAAATGACTGAACAAGGACCTCCATGTAAGGACCACCATATGTTAACTACAGCTGCAAATTTTTTTTTTAAATATTTACAATTACTTTAGCCTGTTAAACTAATATGCAAATTTCATGACATGATTTACATCTATTTTAGTATTTTATTTCTACACAATAGGTTGTTGCTCAGCTCTTATTTTTTTTAGCCACTGTAGATTGGAGTAGTGCTTTGCAAAATTTTTCTTTAATAACACATTCTAAAATGTTTCATAACCTCCTAAAAATAAAATAAAACGCATAAAACCATAAACAAGTAGAATGTGTATTAGCTGATAGAATAGACAGGAACAAAGCCTTGGCCACAATTTCCAAACATAAGTTTTTACTTGGCCCATGCCTCCCTGCACACACAGCAACCTTTAAAACATTCTCCTAAACATATTTATTTTTCTATTAGTCTTGCTAGATTGGAAGAGCAACTCAAGCACAACGCTATTTTCAGCCTAGTTGAAGACGCTACAATGATCTCACCGATGCAATTAATCAAAATGGGATTCAAACTGCACATGAAACTGTGCTGTGGGTCATTGCTGCTGGGATGCAGGAGGAGGGAATGGTGAAACATATGGACCTTTTTCTTTCATTTCAGAAAAAAGTATACACTGTAAAGTCTCTGTACAACTATTTTCTGTAGTTGATAGAATAAATTGTAAGTAGTTTACCAAAAAACAAACCTTAGCTTGGACGTTCAGATATATGAGGGGCGTTCAAGTCAAACCGGGACTTTTGAGTTTATATAATAAAAGAACATTGGAAACTGCATTTATTTTTCAATATGCTCCCCTGTTACATTTATATACTTATCCCAGATTTAACTAATGCATGGAATGCTTTGGCATAGAAAGATTTGTCAGTATGCCTGAACTATCCTAGGCCAGCCTGCTTCACTTCGTCATCTGTTCACTGTTCCCACAGAAAGATTAGTCTCTTGTGTAATTTCATGACAGGTTCAGTTATCCAGGATCAGGTGTTCCACGCACTGAAAGTTCACAGGAATGACTGTTGTGGGCTGGGAACCAATCACTTACGGAGGTATGGCCATCATTGAAATATTTACACCATTCAAAAATGTCTTAATGAGACTGAGTGTCTCATCAACGTACTGTGCTTGAAGTCTTCTGTAGATATCTGCGAGTTTTACGCGAGTTCACAAGAAACTTCATTACCACACGTTGTTCCATGCATGCACTAACACTGTTGTCTGTCATCCTGATTAACAGTCTCTGGACTGGCCAGCGACATGTGCGCCGCCTATCAGTAATAGGACACACATGCCACTTACTACTGCGTGTAGTTCCGCTATGCTAGCATTCCTTTTTATACCTGTAAAATTAAAAGTTCCAGTTTGACTTGAACACTCCTCGTACACAATCAAATTCAGTCAATTTAGGAAATGTTTACCTACCAAAGAATTTGTAATTTTATACTTACTTCTGATCCAAAGACACTCTTGCCAGGCAGAACAGCTAGGTCAGCAACAAAACTTAACTCTACTGTAGCTAAGCAAAATTACTTACTCAATGACCTGTCCCTAGAGTGCTCTTTGGACAATGAAGCAGGATAAGCATGCGATAACGGCATCTTATTGTCCTCTCCACCTCTAAACAAGTTGATAGACTTTTACAAAACAACACAGCCCTAATGCCTTGGAAAGCAGTATTACTGTGCAGGGCATTGCAGGAAACCAATTTAAATACATATTTAGGTACTTCTACTAGCTTTATTTAGGAATAAACTACATTTTTTAAATGACTATATGAGTGGACGTTATTGTTTTTTTCTGCTTAAAGGCCAATGTACCAGCCAGTTAAAAATATTAAAAGTAACATTCCTCTAGCTTTAAAGTTATATTTACAAAATTAACCCAAAAGGTCTATTTTTGTAAAATGTTTTCTCATGTTCCTCTTTTGGTTTTAACAAATTAGGCAATATTTTAATGGAGGGAAGCTCTATAAATTAATGCTCCCAAGTCATAGGAGTTTAAAGCAGAAAAACACTGTATCTGAGCACCACAAGCCAATAGCTATTTCATTTGTTTTTAATATTCAAAGTAAACTCTCCCATCCATCCATGCCTGGGCCTTTTATTTTACTGAGAAATGGCTTAGAAAAACACATCCTAGCATTTCTGGTCGTGTCCATCTTGAGTAAGGGCAGATGATTCATGTATCATTTACTTCCTGGAAACCATCTCTCGGGTGAGACTTGGCATGTGATTTGCATGCCATGTGACTTGCAAATCGTATGCCAAGTTGCACCCTATTGTCCGCAATTAGAGCGGTCAAATAGGTGTAATTCTGACTTGGTCAGAGCTGCACCGATTTCTAAAGTAGTGCATGTGCTACGTTTGGTGCGATTTGCATAGACATCTGTGTCAGATGTCTTGCAAATAGCACCTGAAATCGGCATCTCACCTGACTTTGAAATCGTGTGACTTCACTGTGTGTTGCACGATTTCAAAGTCGAGCATGATGTGACCGGCGGTTAAAACAAGTAAATATGATTTACTTTCCTATTTACTAATGCTAGCAACATAAGTATTAAAAATAGCCAATGCTGATTGAGAGAGTGAAGTTTCACTTTAATAGGAAAGTGAGAATTTACAGAATATGTAGAGTGAACTATGTGTGTGTGTTTCAGTACAGAATGGTTACTGTGTAATCAGCCGTGACATTCCACAGGGTTGATAACTGTGCTTCTACTATGATACTTGACGTTGATGCTAAAAAGAAAAAATTCCAGGTATGGCATCACTAAAGAAGGCTGGTGGTAACTTTAACCACCTCCCGCCCGCCATATAGTAATATGACGGGCGCAAGGTGGTTCTCTCGTTCTGGGAGGACGTCATATGACGTCCTCCCATTCTCACTGCGCATGCGCGGCTCCCTCGGACACAGCGGATCACCGATCACAGAAAGAGCCGAAGCCGATGTCGGCTCGGTCATGTGATCAGCTGTGTCCAATCACAGCTGATCACATGTAAACAGGGAAATGCCGGTTATCGGCATTTCTCTCCTCTCGAGCTGTCACGCTGACAGCTCGAGAGGAGAGCCGGTAATCGGCTTTCCGCAGAGGGGACATGTACACTGATCATCAGGGCACTGATGATCAGTGTGCCCTGATGATCAGTGTAGCCCCAGCAGTGCCACCTGTCAATGTCCATCAGTTCCTTATGTCAGTGCTCATCAGTGCCTCGTCTCAGTGCCCATCAGTACCACATCAATGCCACATCTCAGTGCCTACCAGTGCACATCAATGCCACATATCAATGCCCATCTGAGCGGCCTTCCAGTGTCACCCATCAGTGCCAGTAGTACCACCTATCAATGCCAATCAGTGCCACCTATCAGTGCTGCCAATCAGTGCCACCTATCAGTGCCAGTCAGTGCCGCCTATCAGTACCAATCAGTGCCACCTATCAGTGCCTGTCAGTGCTGCCTAACAGTGCCAGTCAGTGCAGCCTAACAGTGCCAGTCAGTGCAGCCTAACAGTGCCAGTCAGTGCCGCCTATTAGTGCCAGTCAGTGCCGCCTATCAGTGCCATATATCAGTGCCATGTATCAGTGCTGCCTTTCAGTGCCCATCAGTGATGCCTGTCAATGCCCATGAGTGCCACCTACCAGTGCCTCCTCATAAGTGCCCATCAGTGCAGCCTATCAGTGCCCATCAGTACAGCCTCATTAGTGCACATCAGTGAAGGAGAAAAATCACTTATTTACAAAATTTTATAACAACAATTAAGAAAAAAACTTTTTTTTTTCAAAATTTTCAGTGGATTTTGGTTTGTTTAAGAAAAAATAAAAAACCTAGAGTTGATTAAATACCACCAAAATAAAACTCTATCTGTCACAAAAAAATGATAAAAATTTCATATGGGTACAGTGTTGTTTGACCGCGCAATTGTAATTCAAAGTGCGACAGCACTGAAAGCTGGAAATTGGCCTGGGCAGGAAGGGGGTATAAGTGCCCTGTAGGCTAGTGGTTAAAGAAGTATTCCAGATAAGACTTTTTTATACATAGTTACATTGATCCAGCTTTAACCAATTAACTATGCATATATCATACCTGTCACACCGTATAAATTTGTGTCAGAGCAATCCAAACGGGCGAAAGAATAGTGGCTGAATTAATGGAGTGGAAGAAGGAAATTGGCTGAAGGGGGAGAAAGAAAGGGGAGTAAGATGGGTTTGATTATCTACAGTGGGGATCAAAAGTTTGGGCACCCCAGCTAAAAATTTGTATTAATGTGCATAAAGAAGCCAAGGAAAGATGGAAAAAAAAATCTCCAAAAGGCATCAAATTACAGATTAGACATTCTTATAATATGTCAACAAAAGTTAGATTTTATTTCCATCATTTACACTTTCAAAATAACAGAAAACAAAAAAATGGCGTCTGCAAAAGTTTGGGCACCCTGCAGAATTTATAGCATGCACTGCCCCCTTTGCCAAGCTGAGACCTGACAGTGTCATGGATTGTTCTCAATCATCGTCTGGGAAGACCAGGTGATGTCAATCTCAAAGGTTTTAAATGCCCAGACTCATCGTGCAGTCAAACGTGGTTTTTGAAGTGTTTTTCTCACAATCCTGAGAGCTGTCCTGTCTGATATTTTTCTTGGTCTTCCAGATCTTGCTTTAACTTCCACTGTTCCTGATGACTGCCATTTCTTAATTACATTCCGAACAGAGGATATTGACATCTGAAAACGCTTTGCTATCTTCTTATAGCCTTCTCCAGCTTTGTGAGCGTCAACTATTTTCAGTTTCAGTTTTCTAGACAACTGCTTAGAAGAACCCATGGTGCTGATTGTTGGGGCAAGGTCAGATGAGTCTGGGCATTTAAAACCTTTGAGATTGACATCACCTGGTCTTCCCAGACGATGATTGAGAACAATCCATGACACTGGCAAGTCTCAGCTTGGCAAAGGGGGCAGTGCATGCTATAAATTCTGCAGGGTGCCCAAACTTTTACAGACGCCATTTTTTTGTTTTCTGTTATTTTGAAAGTGTAAATGATGGAAATAAAATCTAACTTTTGTTGACATATTATAAGAATGTCTAATCTGTAATTTGATGCCTTTTGGAGATTTTTCCATCTTTCCTTGGCTTCTTTATGCACATTAATACAAATTTTTAGCTGGAGTGCCAAACTTTCTATCCCCACTGTATATATCTGCCATAGTAGATGACATGTTAAGCGTATGCATTGTCCCTCCAGATGCATGTCTCCTTCTACCACCCCATGGTGGGGTTGGCATAACACGGTGCAAAGGACGCACCCATAGCAGTGCCATGCACCTGAAGGTAGTAGCTCCCCTGGAACTTAAAGTAATTATGCTCTAAGCAGAACTTTACACCTTCTAGAATGAAATGGGATTGCTTATGGTGAAGCTGGGATTCTTTGGTCAAAAAATGTCCTACAGCTGTGAGGCCAGCCTTATGAGGGATGGAAGGGTATAGAGAACAAACATCGAGGGACAGCCACACGTATAAATCTTTCCATTTGTAATGAGACAGAGTGTCAAGGAGGTGTAGTGAATCTTGTACATATGACGGGAGGGCCTGAACAATGGGTTGCAAGAAGAAATTTACACACTGAGACAAACCACTTGTCAAGCTCTCCATGGCCTCAATGATGGGTCTGCCAGGGGGGAGGTGGAATTCTTATGTACCTTAGGCAGATAGTAAAAATAGGTGCATTTGTAAAATTCCCTATACAAGAAGTGATATTCCCCCAGGTCAATAATCTTGTTGTGGTAAGCAGTGTCAACAAAGGTTTTAGCTCAGCCTTATAGGTAACTAGGGGATCTCCTGAAAGTTTTCTGTAGGTGTTGGGATGAGAGATGAGTCTGATCATCTCTTTAACATAATCGGACCTATCCTGGATGACAATGCATCCTCCCTTGTCTGCCTGTTTAATGACTATGTCATCCAGGGTGGCTAGTTAATCTAGAGCTAGTCTTTCTGGTCTAGTGAGGTTGTGATTTTTATGAAAACTGGAATTTGAGGTGGAAACATAATTTGAGTACGCCTGCATAAGTGACCTGGTAGAACGCGTCTATAAACAGAGCTGTAGAATGAGTGGAAGAAAGCTTGGTTGTGTTGCAAGTGTAGTTGTGTTTTACTGTTCGTCTCACTGCACATCTACTAAAAGTAGGAGTCTCTTATAACATAAAACACCTGCAATGCTCTTTGAAAGCATGTGGCCATATGCTATGTTTTAAGTAACATGGGGAAGCTGAGAAGTATTTTTTAGTTCATGCCAAGAAATATATACTATTTACTCAAAGTATTGTGATTTGGCCTTGTTGAAATATTCCTTGCTGAGTCCAATAAATTGGTAATTTAAATAATGTGTCCACTTTAAATCACCAAAAATGTATTATTCCATTTTATTGTGTATAAATAGTTCAATAAAACCATAAAAAAAAAAGCTGGTTGAACTTCCTCCAACCCTGTTTTTTTCATATAAAACAAAGTAACTGCTATCTACATCTCCAGATGTGACAAACTTAAAGAGAACAGACATTTCAGAGCCTGATATAGACCCATCTATGCAAAAAACAAAACTGTTTGCAAATACATGCTCGTGTTTATCACACCTTGTGTATTCATGCATATTTAGTAATGGGAGCTGAAGATAAAATGTGAATTGAAACACAAAGGCGTGTCGGCACATTTTTTCTTTCCTAATTAGGATGAAGTCAGATTTAAAGGCCTTGTTTGCAAGCCCATCTTGTCTGGTCCTGTTAATTATTCAGGAGAGGATACAGACAATATGCATGTCTGATAATAATGAGTGCAGCAATCCAGATGGTAGAGAGCACATAAGGCATTCTCACATTAGCGCTAAACACATAGTATTCCAAGAATTCACACACAGTCAAAGACAAACATATCCAGATGTACTTTGCCTTCCCGAGCTTAATCCTAATCAGAATACAGATTTATGTTATCTGTATGTAAAGGGTCCATGCTGCATGAAAAGAAAGGGGTCACTAACATTCAACCAATCCACAAAACAATGTTTAAATCTAATGTGTTTGCAGGGTTGAGTCAACTGCTGGCTTCTTATATTTCTTGAGGACTCCAGCAGTACAATCTTCTGATCCCACCCATCTTGGTGTATCATTAAAGGCACAGCAATTTTGCAGTTGCAGTCCATCCAAAAAAAAGAGTTGGATTGTTTTGCCATGACTATAGTAGGGGTGCAGATATGGAAACCTAGAGTAGACTCCCTGTAAAAAATAAGTGCTGCAGCATTTAATTATAAATGCATCTGCACTTACAGTTTTTTTCTCAGTCTTCCTGCAAAGTTCCACAAATACATGTTGATCCTGTCACTGCAGTCCATCTAATGCTGCTTCCTGTGATAGGGAGGCAACAATGCTGCACTGCTCCTGAATTCAGGGCAGAGTAGCCACTACAGTGGATGACGACTATTAGCACTGTCACTGCTGATTGACAAGCCTGTAGCTTGTCAATCAGCATCTGGCCACACCTAGCCCTGCCCTCTGTTTTGTGAATTGGCAGCACTGCTTCTTTTGCTCAAACCCTCCCACTGTGTGTTGTAATGTGTTGGAGGTGGAGCATGTGAGACAAAAATTAAGGAGGATTTGCCTTAGTCAGGGAGAGTAAAGAACGTTTTATTTATTTACTTTATGAGACTTGCAAATCACATAGTAACTGGATTTGCTGGCTTTTTAGTCAGCAAATGTGAACCTGTATCTTGTTGTAAACTTTTAAAACTTTTTAAAACTTCTGCCTTCTGTAAAACTGGACAGAACAAGATGCCTGGTATTGCCTTTATTAAAAGTGGAATTCTGCACAACCCACCTTTCCTGTTCCAGTTCCTGGATAAACTCTAATCTGCTTTTAAAATGCTCAATAGAAAAAATAATACAAGGTGGTTTTTTTAAGCTATGGACCTATGAATACATAGAACCTTTCTACAAGGAAAAATCTACATCACTGTTTTAAGTTACAAAAAACTTTATTTTAGGTTTGAGTAGAGAAGGTAATATAACTAAAACCCCTGCTAGGTTTTTATTGCTGCCTGTTTCTCCATGCAAAGATACATTTTCCTTATTTGTCCTAATGATCAATGTAACCGACACAAAAAAAACATGGTAGAGCCAAAATATTGGAGTTTTCGCCAGAAATAAAAGTGAGGTAAAAACCTCAAATGGGGACACCTGTTTTGGTTACAACTGTCTAAAACAGTGTTTCTCAACCTTTTCCAGTCAAGGCACTCTTTAAAATTAAGCACAATCTTGAAACACCGCATTCTAAAATGTAAAAAACTGAACTAATAGCTTTACACAATGCAGGTTCCACACACGGAGGATGTGTGCA